CGAAATTAGCTCGTAAGCTCAGTTTCTGTGATGTCATTCTATCTTAGTTTATTAAATTAGTTTATTTATAAACTTAAAGGATTTGTTCTTTAAATTAATACTTAAGTCGATATTAAAATGTGTTCAGTATGAAACAAAATAAGGAAATATTAAATTTAAAAGTACTAATTTATTATTGGCGTAATTGTGTGGTCCCGATATATAATATCTCTGTGTAATTTACTCGTAATGATACTTTAGTGTTATTAACAAATTATTGATTGCTCGCAGCAAACAATAAATTTAATTTATGATAAGATTACCACATTATTTTTGGAAACTATAAAGTAATGTTCAAGTTAATTCTAGAATGGTCTTTAAAATTGCTTTTACTTTCATATTAGATATTTATTTAAAAAAATCTTATCCACTAGTCAACCATAAATATGTAAGCGATAAATACCTAATCCGGAGTATAAAAGTGAGGTGAAAAAAAGCCGCTGGAGGCTTTTTGTATAGGTAAATTCCCTCCGTATATCATTTACAATATAAAAAGATAATTAGAATATCGACTTTCGGTTATGTATAAGACAAACTTGTATGAAACACTCCATCTAGAGATTATAAATCTATGCAATCATCAGTATTGTCAATTGCTTGTGTACTTGGAACTATCATTGTAACGACTAACCCTTGGTTTTGTACATTTTTAAAGATTTTGTAAAAATATTAAAGTGTTAATTTATTTGTCGTCTAAAGTTTGAATGGTGGTACAACCACGATTAACATTGACGATTTGTGCTGTCAGACATTACATGACCAAAAAAATAACTTTATTTTTTAATTGATACTACAGCTTATATTATAGAATTCAAAAAAGAGGTTTTGAAATTACTTATGTATTATTTTTAAATGTTAAAGCATGAATCAGGAAATTGGAGAACTATTTTATTTGTTCTTTTATAATTTGTTTGTGTTATCGTGTTTATAATGGTGTTAATGCCAATTAGCATCTTTATAAAATTAAGACATATATTTCGAAGTTGTTCGAGAATGTACAAAAATTCACGAACTTGTATTTCACATGACCCATCTGACAGATTCCCGTCGGAAGTAAATAAATGTTGAAATTTAAAGTCTTATTTTAATTTCTCCAATTACTTTCATGCGATAACTAATAAAAAATACATAAAAGATGATATAAAAGTGAGAACTTATATGGTGATATCTATTTGTGTCACGTCCGACCTTGAAGCGGGTGTCCAGTAGCGTGTTATAAAGTATCTTCCAGATGATCGGACAAGCTTCTTTTGTAGCCTATTTAAGTTCGTATCTCATAGAAAAAACACTTTGTGCTTATAAGTATATGAAAGTGATAATACATATTATAGATTTATTTATTATCTTTTACTTACAATAAACTAGCTATCACTCGCGACTCCGTCCGCGTGGAATGAAAAAATCTTAATTAGCTCCCAGCAATATTCGAATTTTTCTCGCTGTAAAAACCATCTTTGAACTTCAATGAACATTTAAAAAAAAAGAATTGGCCAAATTGGTCCAGGCGTTGAGTTATGCGCTTACCAACACATTTTGCGATTAAATTTTATATCTTCTATCTATATATAAAAGAAAGTGGTGTTAGTTACACTATTTTATAACTCAATAACGGCTTTACCGACATGGCTGAAAATTAGCGAGGAGGTAGCTTAGAGTCCGGAGACGGACATAGGATACTGTTTATTCATTTTTTCGAATTTATGCCTTTAATATTATAAATGCGAATGTTTAGATGGATGTGATGTGGATGGATGGATGGGTGGACTACACTAATAAAGTTTTTTTATATATCCACGCGGACGGAGTCGCGGGCGACAGCTAGTTAAAGATATAATGAATTTTTATATTACAAATAACGTATGTGAATTCCTTAGGACAACTTTCGGCTTCATACTTTAAATGGACATAGTAATCTTCATAAGAAGTCTACGGTATGTCATTGAAAGTCAGTGAGTTACCATTATGTACCATGATCGTATACATAGACATACTTTGCCGTGCAATCGCTTCGAGATCGAAGGTATATAATCAACATGAAGAGTTATCGTGTTATATTTGCAATACAAGATTTTCTTTCTTACGCTGTTACGTTGTCAATATAGACGAATTCCTAATTACGAGGTTAGCGTTTTTGTCACGTTGGAATTTGTAATTTATTTCTTATAATAAATACAAGTTACTATACTCATAAAGGTATCTAATCACGTTGCGCTCAAATTAACCACCTGCGCGAGTTCGCTTCCTGTTCAACTACATACCCGCCTTATGGTGTGCTATGTAGTGACAGTATGACGCTTCTAACGGTCAACGTAAATAAATTTAATTTTATTGAAATTTGTTGACATACTGATTAAGGTATGTCAACCACAGATCCACAGCATTATATTAATAATGCGACAACGTTTTTTAAACTTACTAATATTATAAATGCGCATGTTCAGTTGGTGGTTGGCTGGATGTTTGTCACAAGGTATCTCCGTAACGGCTGCATGGATCGCTCTGGAATTTGGCATAAATGTAGAACATAATCTGAAAAAACCTTTGTGGCTACTAAATGCGATTTTTTTAAACATTCGCGAACAGCGTCGCGGGTGACACATAGTCTATGTATATATTTAAATATTGTTTTAGGTTAAGTAGAACTTTTGAGGTTATTTCAAAGAAAAGTCTCAAAGGGTTTCCTTAGGTATCGTTATTTATAGTAAAATGGGCATAGCTAAAATAGTTTAACTTGATTATAAACATAATAAAGTATGACATGGCGAAATACAGTGACAGACAAGAAATATTACAATGAATAAATGAAACTTTTTTCACAAGTTAAATTGACGAACTTTTGAACGAAAGTAGTTTAAAGTTTCAAAGCGAATAGCGTTAGGTCTGCCAGAGAATTGCAACGGAAATTAAATTTAATTAACAACAATTGTAATGGAAGAGGTTTATAAAAGATCCAAATAAATAAAACAGAATTCGAACACAAGTAACAATTGAGTAGGGACCTTTGCTTGAATTAGAATATTTTGTTGTTTACAAATTTTGTTTCATATAATTCTTTTTTTTATGTACATTCTAAAAATTAAAATCAAAAATGCAGATGACATTAAGCAAAAATACAGGTGACTCATAATCGACTTAGTTCGACAAGGCAAGACAAGATTCAAGATACTAAAGGAATACACGAGTTCCGTTATTCCAGATTCCATTCGAGACATGTTGCGTTTTGAATCAACCGAATGACTCAAAATGCATGAAGTTTTACATTCCTTAGTCGATATTTTTTTTTAAAGAGAAGGGGGCAAACGAACACCGAGGTGTATATCGACGCCCATATGTCAATTCTGCAAGACCAGAGGAATCGTAGATGCGTTGCCTTCGAGATGGTGATAATTATTTTGAGATAAAAACTATTAAATCTTAACAAAATTTCTTAACAGACTATTTGTTTTTTAATTGTAATTTTTAACAGACTATGCCATTGAAGGAATGTAATCTGACAGTGTGTGGGATGAAGGGCAAAACACACGGACATGAATTAAATTCCATTCAGACCTTTGATTTGAAACTAGCTTTCTGAAAGTCAAACAGTTCGCCAGAAGTACGCTAGGAGCCGCGTCGTTAATCTTCAGCTGACAGCGGCCTTATGTTTATTTGTTTGTTTTTCGAGATGTTATTTATTTGATTCGTAATGTGCTTAGGTAGTGCGCATATTTGGTATAAACTTGGAACAAAATAATAGTTTATTTTAAATGAATTAAACGGCTTTATGAATCGCCAGTTAATTGACACAGACGAGTTTGTAATGTAAATAAAAATGAATTACTAATTTAATACATCATAAGAACACATAACATAGATCTAAATAAATATGTTTTTTCCAATCGTAATACTTGAATATAATTTAAGTGACGTAACGTAACTTAAACTTGGTTACCTTGGAATAAAGTTTAGTTTTTTGGTCTAAAAACATATATAGGTACACAGTCAAGATATGATACCTACTTGATTTAGTTCAATGCACTTTTTACCATAGTAGCATTTCATTTGAAATATATGATAGCGAGTGATTAAGTATGTTTTTTGTATTCAAGTTATCACTTCGTAATTGTAAGTCGTCCTTATTATTTGGCAATTAATTGTATAAAAATTCTCCTACTGATACTACTTTTTTTTTGTTAAATATACTCTTTTAATTTGTTATAACAGTAATATCTAGATCCTAGACCAGACTAGAGATGTATAAATGTTATTGTAGTCTAGTTTACAGGAAGCGAGCTCGATTGGTGCGTCACTGGAGTAGCGCGGTCACCTTGAAACTGAACTGCATTCTAGTGTGCCCTGTGCAGTCAAGAACACGACCTCAACTGCAAGCTTTAGATGCCAAGCCACTGGACGACATATACAAAGAAAATAGGCCTTGATAAACAACATTGCATATGGAAAATCACGAAGAACAACAAAACTAGTATATTTATTATTGTCGTTATAACTTTAAATTATTTATTTTTAAAAGTAATTATTGATTTGATTTAACTCTTATTTTAAACTCCATATAATGAGTGAAAAGAATAGGTATGATAAAATAATTTCTTTTGTTTACTACATTTAAGGGACAATATAAAAAAAAATAGAAAAAAACAAAAGAGTTTCTTATTAGAAAATGTAACGTATACAATAAGAAGCATAATGAAAGACAATTTCTACATTCGAGAAATATTTAACGGTCGATGGATCAATATCAAAATACCTTCATATCGTAATCTTATTACACAAACAAGCTTCTATGACTTTGTTGTTAAATAATGGTAATATCATTTGACAAGATAATTTTAGTGCTTTATCACCACTCAAACAGAGGTCTGACACAAAAATAATTTACAAACAAAAACATCGTTAAAACAGACAGCAGTAATATCTATGGGATTTCCTTTTTTAAATATAATAATGATAACAAGATACATTACCTCGCTCTCTATATCGGAGGCTGCGGAAGACCGTGAGGTTTGATTTGACACACAACCGAACAACGTCGGCGAACCCCGCGCACTGACAAAAGCCGCCGCGAGTCACCAGAGGGCACACACAACGTGAAAGCTCCTGCATCCATCGATCCACCCTTATACCATCTCCTACACATACATTGACCTTTATTTCTTAAACAATACGGTTTGCATTCGCTTGTATTGATTTCGGAGTCTAAAGAATCTTTCGACAAAAATCTCTATGGAGTAAATTGCGTAGCTTAGTAATGTTAAAGCTTATAAGCAGACCAATAAATCTAATTAAGTTTTAACTTCCAAGATATAGCAACACAATATTTATTCCATCTGTTTTATGATATAAAGCCCATTGCTGTTGTACTGAAGAGCTATTATATATGTTATTTCGATTCGAATACATTTAATTTATAGATTTACTAGCTGTCGCCCGCAACTTCGTCCGCGTGTTTGTCTAAAAAATAAAAATTAGGGGTCGACTACCCTTAACATTTAGGGGATTACATTTAGATGTTGGCCGATTCTCAGGCCTACTCAATATGCTCACAAAATTTCATGAGAATCGGTCAAGCCGTTTCGGAGGAGTATGGGAACGAAAATTGTGACACGAGAATTTTATATATAAGATCATAGTGGTCTGAAGAGCTGGAAATTATCATTCATTTTGTACGTCGTACAACACGTGCAAGATAACATGAGATTTGCGTCATATGAAAACTTTCCAAAGCCCCAAAATAGTCTTCCAACACCCAAGTGTTGTTCATAAATGGACTTGAGAGGCGATGGGGATAGATCGGAAGAGGAAACTTTCTCTTTTTGTTATCCTTCTCCTTTGGTTAACAAAAAATTTCAGAACTAACGATAGTGTAATGTATATAGATTAAGAAAAACAATTTAAAATCAACAATATAATTTTATTGTGTATACGAAATGGTTAGATCACATTTACATTTCTCAGGGTTATATCCTTAATTGACAATGTCAATTTTATTTATATAATATGTCAGTTTACATACGTGACAAATTATCACAAAAATATAATTTTACAAAAAATTATAGCAAAAAATGTCATACATTCGATGTTATCTCACTGTTCAATTGTAAAAAATAATATATGGAATCGAATATTATTATTCGCAATAAAATAGACAAGCAGATACGATAGAGAAAAAAAATTAAAAGATATTATAAGAAAATAACAAAACAAAAACTTCATTGGAAGCTATACATAAATATAAGTAGCTAATGAACCTCGAAAAAATAGCTGCTTCTGCTCATAATATTCCAATTATTTCTATATTTGTTACAAAATAAAATAATTATTAGAATAATATTTACACATAATAATAATAACTACACAACAATTATTGTACATAATTACTAAATACTGCAACATCTTTTAGTCCTCATTCATGCGGGCGCTTTTTTAACATCGCTTTAAAACTGGCATTGACGTTTCTCAAGCGACGAATGCTTTAAAATCACTCTTGTTCCTTTCACTCAACGCTCAAAATACAACACTGTGCGATCAAAAAGCGTCGCGTTTTAAAGCGTCACATATGATAAGATGCGTGAAAATCCAGTTCTATTTCAAGAATTTGTTAACGCGCGATAAAAAAGCGCCCGTACGAATGTGGGCTTAAGGTAGGCGTCTATAGGCCCGAGCCGGACTCACCGCACGCACGGCTCGCAACGGATTTTAGTTTGCTTTGTATAATTTTATATATGTCCATCATCCGCACCGCCTGCATCGCATCAAAACAAAGCAAATCTATTTAATTCGTACTTACGGTGAGTCCGGCGCGGGACAATGTACGCGTACCTTTACTGCGGGCTTTGACTGCAATGACACGATTGATACATACTGTCATCTCTTACATTCGCTTTGATATAACAAAGACAACTATATGTTTCAATATTTGTCACTGCAGTTGAAATCCAGAATTATTTAACTACAGATTAATATAGAACTGTTAAAGCTTCTTAAAAATATGAATACAAAAATAATATATTTGTACAACATTCAAATTATACAATATTTCCAAAAATAATGTACTCGAAATTAAATAATTCTATAACATGGCATTTATTGATAAAAAATTGCCACAACATTTGTACTACAATCGTAATTTTATAATAGACCAGCATCTTTTAACAACAGCTTGATAGTAAAAAAATAATATATACATAATTTAATTACGCTTACACAATTACACATAACTATTTGCACATATTATCGCGTAAGCAAAAAGGAATAATAAGTTGGAATTAACTTTAAATAGAAATTAAAATACTATGGAATACTCAAATTAACAATAACATTGTATGTTTAAAAACATTTATTATAAAAAAAAATGTACCAAGCCATATTTAAAAATGTTCCCTTATGCACACATTTCTGACAAAACCAACTTTGTTAACTATTTAACAACTAATTCATTTACTAATTATCTAAATTAACAACTTTTAGAGGTTTAAGACTAGATTAATATATCCCACAACGTGCAACTGATGTATTTAGCACCATTTTTAAATTAAAAAAAATTAGCTCACTGCTTTAAGATGATTGTGGCCACTTCACACGAGCACACAAAATTAGGTTGCACACAATTTTATGTAATACATTTTAAATTATTTGCACATATCGGTGTTATAATAAGAATCTTAATGACATTATCACATTTAAAGACTAAATATAACTTATTTAAACGAATACATTCAGAGACTTCAGAGGGATTAGACAAAATACATTAGCTTCGAAACGATTCTATAGCGAACTTTAAAAATGTATGAAACTGATGTGCGACAATCACGTGACTTATCCAAAATTATTCTCAAATCCATACATTTTTGAAGGTCGTTTCGTAGCGAATGCACTTTGTCTAGCCGCTCTGAGAAACTTGTTCTTTCTCTGTTACTCTATATGTGAATATTCATTTGTCTCGCTCACTCCGTGTACGCGTTCCCATAGCAATTTCACGTATGTCCATTTTAATTTCGTACAAGCAAAGCAATTTGATTTCTTTCTAAGATTATATTAAATTGCTTTGATGTTTTTCATAATCATTTTACATAACTGACTGTTAAAAGTTGCCAAATATCTTCACCAGTGCAATTGATTATAATTATCAAATGCCTGACTAGCTTCGCTTGCATATTTTATGTCAAAAACTAACTTAATATTGAAAGAGACTGACTCGCGCTTATCATAAAATAATAGTAATATAACGTCCATACTTTACGACCGCTCGCAATTTCGGAGACGTTACGTAGAAAAACTGACACATTCCTCCAAACTCCTACGTTGCCGGTAACCTCGAGCCGTCATAAAGTTTGAATCTTGCAATGTATTTTATCTGATTTGAATACTGAATAACGGTGCGTTAGAAACTACTAAATATATTAGAGGTGCGCTATTTTTTTATTTGGAATAAAAACTCACTACTTATAGAGGATTTTAGTAGAAGGGATGTTAACTGTTTTTACGTTACTTTAAATTACGTTACGTTAAATGCTCTATCACAGACTCATTCTATTGTTTTCTTTTATATTTTTTTAAAAATTTCAAGTGTCAATTTCACAATAACTGTCAGTTACATTTTAACTTTTTTAAATACTCTGGCCGTATTTCAAACTTCACATGAATATTGATAATACATTCATATATTTACTTTCAAAGTTTTGGCCCCATATGAACAACAATTTACTAGTATTTACTTTGAAAGTTTATCAAAATTTATAAATAAAAAGATTAATTACAATTTAACTAATCCGTTCTACAATCCCTTACAATTTAACCGTCAATTTGAAAACCGGATCATAAATATACCTATGATATTATTATAAAAAATGGAAGCTAATTGATAATTTTATTACGCCTATTTTTTATCCTACAAAACTATTATTAAAAAACATTAGCCTCTTTGGCTGTTACATTCAGCCTGTAGCACCTTACGTGCGAAAATCGCACAAATTTGAATATTCCATTATCATTGTTGCCACCATATAAAAGTTTCTAACCTAGAAATAGTTCCAATCTAAAAACAATGAATAATTTGGGATATGTATTTACACTCACTAGTTTACATCTTGTTCAAACTAATTCGTATTAAAAAGTAAGAACAAATGTACTGTGCACATTTGGCAACATCGATATTTCGGCCATTCGATATTTTGTTACATCACTATTGCATTTTCGACTATCGATTTTAAAACTAAAGACAAATAGAACACTTCAATTTGCCACTATTCTTTTCAAAATTACCTAATTTACAAATAGCACACTTTCACTTCAAAAATGACGTTTATTTTTAGGTTATAATATCCAAACGTCAACGTCTACTCAACAATATAGATTTTAACAATAAAATTTCTACAGATCTATACAGATTGTACAGAGTATAAAATGTTAGAGTAAAGGATATGTTAGTTGTCGAGTGTAGCCAGAGCCTCGTGCAGATTTAAATATCATGATAAATATGTGAGGCAGAAGCGCGGGCGTAGCAACAGGCGCAGCGCGCGAGTTGCGCGACCCGAACGCTATAAGTCTGTCTCGGACCACTGCTAATCGCCTCTACGCAACCGTCGAGCCGCCGCCGTCTTGTCGTGGTACAACCACACCTGGAATTTATTATGTTTTATTTTTTACAAGGAGGTAACAGCGGATCGCATTATATATTCTTTAATTTAATCTACTAGATCCACTTCGTCCGCACAGAATAAAAAAAAACTTTATAAGTAGCCTATGTGCTCTTGCAGACTATGTTCCCAATTCTTCAAACAAATATCCATTCATCTAAACATCTACATATACTATGTTAGTAAGAAGTAAGATCTATATTATCTACATTCTGCAAATTAAGGACCATTTGCATAATTTTACAAAAGTAAGTTCTAAATAGTATTTATAAAGTTAAATGTGTTAAAAAAGGCCTAGTTACAAGTATGGAATTACATCGTTTTACGTTGTAATAAAACGACGAGAACATGACAGTAAAAACACATAGAAACTATTAATGACTTACTTGGAATAGAATAATAATATCTAAGGAGACCTGAAGGCCGCCGCACACCCAGAACTGCGTGGGTGCTTCACGGATCACGAAGTATGCAGTCTTGAATATGTCACCACACGTCCACATTATCACCATACTCAAACTGGTAAATAATAAAAAAAAATAGTAAACTGATTAAGTAATTGACAGATAAAAAATTGGAACGATGGTTTTTTGTATTAACTTTTTGGTAGTAGAAAATCACGGCGAATCTGAAAAGGTAAATAACTTAGCTCTCGCTCGCGACTCTGTTCGCGCGAAAATTATTATAAAAAAACTTATTAAGTAGCCTATATATGGTATTCCAGATGTTCTACATCTATGCCAAATTTCAGCGAGATCATTGCATTCCTTTTGAACATACCTTCTAACAAACATTCATTCATCCATCCATACATTTACATTTGTAATATAAGATAGAGGAACATATCTAATTTCAGAACACAAATGTGAGGCGATGAGATAGGCCTCCGGAGGTCTTTTGTGAGGGTAAACTCCCTAAGTGTCATCATTTACAATACAACATGTACCTTCAAAAATAGTGTCTTTATTAGACGTCAAACATGTAACACTCCATCTATATGTTACATTATATCTATGCTTGAAAGAGTTTCGTGTGTGCAAGTTTGCCGTAATTGCATATTTGTCAAAAATTAAATTACCTCATTCCTTCTGTACTTTTATTCTGATGATTCTTAGCTATCTGTGGCGCTCCGAGCATCGCCTCAGTGAACACAGCTAGGAAGCCAATTAGTTCAACAAATGGTGAGAACTCTATCAATAGATAGGTTATCGCCGCACCCAATACTGAAAATACTAGCATACAATCCAAATAACTCTGGAAGTCCGTCCACGCCCAAAAATACTTTCTATCCATATCTGAAAAGAAAAAAAATTAAACAGTCACATCATCTTCAAACTTAACAATTCATGGCATTTAAAAAAAAATCTGATTAATATTAACATCATGGGATGAATTGAAAATTTCTTTTAGTTTTAAAAAAAAAAAACACTTATCACATTCAAATTAAAGTCACAATTCACTTTACATAAGCTGTTGACTGGACAAATAAAACTTACGGATAACCTTCAAAACAAAACACATTTTTAAAACATCCATGACATCACAGTACCAAATTCGTAACAAATGACGGACACAAATAATTTTAAAATTCAAAAATAGTTTAAAGTAAAAACTTAGTAATAACGTACAAATATCACCTTTAACCCAATAATTATATATTACATAATGTTTAACCCATTTATTATTATGTTTAATAAATAACACAATTAGTAGGAAATCTTATACAATATGTAAATGAATTGACACAATTAGATAACAAATGTACATATAGTCATGACCCCAGCATTGCTCCAAAGATGAGATAAATAATATGTTAAACTCAATCATAACGGTCAAGTTTTGATAACAAGGGCCAATGAACCATTTTAGTATAATAATATAAAGAAAGATAACTAACTCAACCTATTTCCTCATTATAAAATTTAAATAAGACAAATATCCAGTCAAATTTAACCAAAAATTAAGAGTTTAGTTTTATAAATTTACAAAAGTTGAAAATTGTGAAATTGTGCAAAATATAACTATAAATAAAATTTTGAAAGTTGCCCATCTTACCCCTGCCTGGAAAATGTTTTAATCAAGTAATAAGTTTTTGCGATTTTTAGCTATCTATCAAAAAATGTCTGAATACTTTTTTCCTACGAGTTACCATTTCGGAGATGTAACGATTCAAAAATTTGTAAACGTAATTATATTTTGAAAGTTTTCACAAATTTTTAGCTTTCTGGGAATTTATATAACTTCAGATATCTAAATTGACTTAAAAGGTAAAAATAACTTAATTAGTTCATATTTCTCTATATCAAAATGTGATGACAAAATAAAAATGACATGCTATTGTAAAAGTAAAAATGAATAACCTAATCTTAATCTTAAAATTAAATCTGAAAAAGTAACTAAGAAAACATAAATATTGCAAGCAATGGAGATTTTAGAGAAAAAAAATTACAAATTCACTCTTTTGACTAAGCAAAAGCAAAATTATAACAAACAATTGTATATTTATAGGGATATATGAATAATGATCTGGTGTATAGATTAATTTAATGTAAAAATTATGTTTCAAAATGTTTTTAGAAATAACACATATAATCAACAGGTTGATATTATAAAATGAGAAGACAATATATGTACAATAATATGTGTAAATAAATATATTTGACTAATATAGATGTAAATTATTCAATAATAGTATCATGGAAATATTAGGTGCAATCCTATATTATAAAATGACTCGTAAAACCAAAATTAAATTATTAAAATCCAAAATGACAAGCAGCAAATAAACTGATCACAGCAACACAAACATTGCAAGACAAAATAGCCCGTGTGTTCAAACTGTCACGATATAACCAACGTCATCCAACGTTGACTCACCATAGAAGCTTCGTGGCTTCTCCCTGCCTATGCTGCTGCGTTGGTCCAGCCAGCGCGCCGTATCGTCAGGCTGAGCTGATCCATTCACACAACACAATAGTATATATAACATGAATATTGCACCTAACGCCACCAATTACACCAACCACCAAACAAAACATAAAATAATGTTAAAATAAAAAAAGAAAAATAACATTAGTAACAAAATAAAATTATGAGTTAAACCAAACTAATGCTAACAGTAAAATAAAAGAAAATATAAGAAATTATACTATGTATTGATAGATTGCAATAGCTATGTAACAATATACAATAAGAAAAATATTATAATTATAATTATCAATAAAAGTAAGTATCTAATTTGTAAGCTACTGTATATGTTGATGGCAAATGTGATACAAACCTGTGAATATTCTTTCCCTTGCTCTTATAATTTGATTTTTTTTACGAACAGTAACACATAGATGGATCATTACAAACATTGTAATGTTCATTACAATACTCTGAATTAATAGAGGCAGTTCATATCGCTTGCCAAACCTGGAATGAATGAACATGTAATGAATATTTTTCCTAAAAAAAACATCAATTATTGTATTTCTACAAGTTTTAATGAATCATGATAACCACAATCAATCTAAAACAGCACAGAAGAAAAGAGGGTGGATTTTTGTATGTTTCAATTATTTTCAATTTTCACTTTGGAATTGTACCACAAAAAGAGTTGAGTAAATACCTTTACTTTAATACATTTCAGTATATATATTGGTTACAATATTAAATTTACAATATGTATAATGACATCACTTGATGACCTTGTGTTGTAATACAGATGGTCAGTGCTTTTGTTACCAAGTATTTGATGAAATAATTAAATCATTGCTGCTTATATTTTTTTTTACAGATGGGACCTTGATACCCCATAATTTTAATCTTTATTCCAGTCTATTTATTATTTAGTTCATATTGTTCTCTTAACATATTTGCATACTAAAACATATGGGAAGAAACAGCTGTGATTGTGTAAATATGAAATGTAAATAACCTTCAAATTAAATCGATGTTAACAATAGGTTGATTTTGAGTTAGATTAATGGTAAGATTACAATAAAAATTTAAAGTAATAAAAGATAATACGTACCAAAATAAAATACGCAACGTATTGGCTACTAGAAGTGTTAAGCAAACATACAGAGAAAACCCCTCTGCATCTTGTGTTCTCTTAATTTGCCTGTACTGAGGAATGTAAGGGGCCACCCCACCTATAATCATGGCACCAGCTGCACCCCAACCGACTAAATGGCCCACCGTTAAACCCAACTCATCTGATATTATCCAATCCATTTTTAAGATTGTAATTTCTTCCTCTGTATTTGTAATATAAATTTCACACGTATATGTTGTATGTAAAATTCAAGTGGTATTTTACAACTACATTCATATTTACAAAAAACAATATTCCTGATTGAAATAAATCAAGAAAATCACAAAACAATGACGACGACAATAAAACACAATTCAATCAATCATCACGATGACAAAATGACAACTGAGTGACAAAAGATAATCAAAGAGTATATAAAATAAGAGACGGAACTCTTGACTAATTAGATACACAAACGGAGAATAAAAATTGACATTTTCAATGCTAGCAATATTATGAACAAGTCTACGTTGCTACCAACCTAAAAAAATCTATCTGTCAGTTTCCTTTTTTGACGTTTGAAAGTATTATTCGAGGGAAAACAATTTAGGAAAAATAAAACAATTTAGTTAATTGCAACTTTAATTTAATCTTCTGACTAAAGCGAACATATTTTAAGAACGCAACATAATGCTCATTGCTTTCGTAATAATACCATTATTGTTTAGTTCACCAACAAAATACCCCAACTATAATAAATGCTTATTTGTTCCAGTTTGTTTATTTGATAGCTCATATTTTCTGATAGAACTGGAGTAGTAGTGTCACTCTCGTCGGGAGAAATAGAATAACACTGGAAAGAGATTAGCAGCTATCTGTTGGTAAAATATTTAGAAAATTGCTAACAAGACAATATGCATTGAAGCAAAAAAATCGTCATCATCAAGCTCACTATACGGTCACACTATACTCCACTGAGGAGCTCGGAGCCTACCCTCAGGAATGCGACTAGGTCTTATTCAACAACGCAGAGCCAGTGAGGGTTGGTTGACTTCACACATCTTTGAATATCTATGCAGTTGTATGCAATTTGTAATTACAGTAAGAATGTCGGATGGATGTTATCAAGAAATTCGAAGAACGCATTACTATACAGCGGAGATCGTACCTGGATATGTAAAATATGATGCGGTCAAGCGCCAACTGCACTGCCGACGCTCCAAATAGTCCCCTAATCCAAACTTTTCCTATCAAAACATTGCAAATGTAAAAGTCATGTTAAATATAATGTAATGTAAAGATAGAATACAATATTTAAGTTTTACTTCTCAAATAAATTCATAAAATTATCATGAACCTAAAGATTCCGCATATTAACTCTTTTGTTATTACTATTCTCCGTAGATGTGTAACCTATAGATTCCTTAACAAGAAAAAAAATGAGCTTAGGAGGCATCATTTTGGGGTAAAGTACCTGTGTTGAAATTTAAATTACTTGTAAGAAAATTATATACAATCTCTGTTTATTTTTTATTACTTAGTTCAAAAAAGATTTAGGTTTTATTATAAGTTGTGATATTTGTTACATCCAAATTTAATAAATTAATTTTGTTTCATATTTTTCATTAAATGGTATTTTTTTTATCTTTTGTACTTGATACTTAATTCCCTATATTTTATTATATTTTTAGTTTCTATACACTGCATTTCCCAATTTCGAGAAAATCTTGTTATGCTAGTGTATATTTTATATTAAAGTCTAATACATATTACTAAAAATTGTCATATTATTAACATCAAACTAATATAAAACACGAAATCTATAGGTTACACATCTATATATCAATATTGACATTAAAATAGTTACTAGCATTTCCTGCAACATGGTGACTCTTTTTTAGATTTGCGGTTAAACTACTCCATATAATAAGTTATTTTTCAAATTTAGTTTAGAATTACTATTATCAAACAATCAAACTTTGTAGCACAGATGTTGCAGCGACATGCAGTCAGTAATTCTGAAGCAGATTTCTTCATTTAATAATTCTGTAGAACTTGAAGAGGTGCATTCATTCATCTGCAACAGAATGAAATGGTAGTTAATTGATTCAAGTGTACAACAATCAATTTAATTATTGCTTTTCACCTAATTACATACCTTATTAAAATAAGTGGTTTCTTTGATTTTATGGATCTCTTCCCCTTTACTTACAAAACTTCTTTGCAATTCTCTACAATGATGGAACTCACAAACCATGTAAAAAAATTATGATTAGTTTTTACAGGTACAGATAGGAACTTTTATTGCCTGCCCATTTTTGTGAAATGTCTATGATAGAATCATAAATCAAATTAGTTTGAAAAACTTGTCATGTCATGACCAATTTACAGTTTAATCTACAATATTTGAAACAATAATAGAGAGATATTCTACACACAACCTAAATAATGTTTAAGTTAATCTTTATTATTGAATCTTTTTCATGTTTCGAGCAAACCATTTTATACTTAATATCAAGCCAATTTAAAAGGTTAAAATTGTTCAAGTAATTGCTGGAAATATAATACGTGCTTACTTAATATTTACCACTTACCATGTAGAATTTGGCATATGTCTTGTACTTACTTTTATATTATTTTCATCAATTTTTGTTGTAAATTTATTTTTCAGCAATCAGCAAAAGGTCATAAGTTCTAGTTCAACATTTAGTTCTTTTAAATATGAATAGAATGTAAAATTATATCTTTATTCAAATTCTATTTCTGTGAATTATTAGTGATTATGTTTTCTACTACTTTTTACTTGTTTCAGACCTAAAACAAAGTATTAAAAATTGATAAGTTGTTCATACATTGTTCTTCCTTTGTAATTAATTATAACTGTAAAGCTTATTCTTATTATTTAATAAGTTACAGAAGTTATTATTTAACAAGTTTTAAGGTTGAATGTAACTGCTGGTAACTTAGTTGGCTAGAATGCGATCTGCGATTTTGCGATCGACTCCTACTATGCCGCCTTTTATTAGGCATGTTTTCTTTTTTTTAGCAAGTATTTAAAATTAGACGTAATTCCAAGCAGGGCATTCAAGTTACGGTAAATAATTGATCAATAGGGTAGACACGACAAAATATTAAAATTGAGCCATTCTAAAATTTACACAAAAAGCTAACAAATACAACTTCTATTTGTTATTTTAAAGCGGAGAAGAAAACAATTGGAATGTACTCACCAAAGTTGACATTATAAAACTTGATCACACCGTCACATCACGTCTTACTTACGTATATTATACGAAACACCGAAAACAAAGTGCTAATTTGTCCTTTTAAACAAGGGTAGTTACAATTTCCAAAAATATATTTCTGATCGTATGACTAGCCAATTAAAGAAATAACAATGGAAACACATCGTATCAGGATGTACAAACAAGGACGTGGGAGTTTCACTATCCCACTACTGATCTTAAGGATCAGAAGCAGGGAAAATTAAAAAAACAATCTCTTATACACTACTACAGTACTTTTTGAATTAATAAGAAAAGTAACAGAATTGAATAAATGTAATTAACAGTAAAATGATTAAAAAATACAACATTAACTTAGTCAACTATCAGAGTTAAAATGATAAATTATTTTGGCTAGTCAAACGGGCAGAGCTTCCGCTGGCTTCAGTGTTCGGTGGCGAGTATGTCCCGAAAATGAGGGTGCGGTCTCTTATATTGGCATCACCCCACCATTATTTTTAAGTTCCACCCTCAGCTAACAATATATTTAAAGTAGGAAGTTATTAAGTAGCCATTGTCAACTGAGTTACTGTTTAACGCATTGTGTGCAATGTTTAATGTTTATTGATATTGTAAAAGCTTCTAATAACTTTTAATTTGATCTTACTCTATAATTTACGTTTTTCCTAGACTAAATAACATTATTATCGTAATTTAAGTAACGACCAATCAGAGCAGAGCACCTGGCTTAAGAGGGGTCGAGGAACCATCTTTATATAAGGCGTTTTGACAGTTGTTACGAATATAGTCGTGAAGTGGAGACGGATCGAGTTGGGTCATCGTGTTTTGTGCTTGCACTTTACCACTTCACCTGTGGCTGCCGAC